TTTTTTATCAATTCCTATTGTCGCTCACATTCTTCTTTTCTGTAACATCCGCATTATGGCCAATTCCACAGCAATGGACCAAGGGAAATATCACTCTAGAGGTTTACCCCAGTCTACCAATAAAATTAACTTCGGTAGCCATGAAAACACTATCCGTTGAATCGCTGCAGGTCTTTACGTCGGCAAAGAACAGATTACAAAGTTTTATCGTACAGGAACGATATGTTTCGCCAAACGTCAACTTCGCCATCCCCTCCGAAACCAAAAAGCTCAGTTGTTTGGTTGTTGACGTTACGACCGATCAGGATTTTGATTTAGAAATTGACGAATCGTACACTTTGGAAATTTCGGATGATTCCTTGATCGCCAAAGTCTCAGCAAAAACGATTTATGGTGCTTTGCACGGCCTGACCACATTCTCACAGTTGATATATTATGACAACGATTATTTAAAACATGAGAAGCATCGACAAGCCTACCTACCATTTGCTCCACACAAGATTGTCGACGCGCCAGTCTTCAAATATCGAGGTTTGTTGTTGGATACCGCAAGAAATTATTACCCAGTGCAGGACATTCTAAGAACTTTGGATGTCATGTCCTGGAACAAATTGAATGTATTTCATTGGCACATTGTGGACGCCACCAGTTGGCCGGTAGTCAGTAAGGCGTACCCAAAGTTGAGTGAGAAAGGTGCATACGATCCGAAGACCATGATTTACACTAAACAAGATATTTCGATTATCGATGAATACGCAAAATTGGTATGTTTCAGGAAGGGGGAGAGAATGATCGAATTGGATGTTATTCCTTTTTCGTTAGAACTCATCATCTACTTCTGTTTTATACAGAGGGGAATTTTGGTTGTTCCGGAATTCGATATGCCAGGACACACCCAGTCTATTGCTCACGGTTATCCCGAAATGTATGTTGAAGAAAAAAAAAAAACATTCTCTGTTAACAATAATTAACGTTTGCCTTCTTTTCGTGCATGTAGAATGTCATGCGTAAACGAACAACCCCGTTGGGATTTGGTAAGTTTCCATGGTTCTGTAATTTTATGAAATATTCTTATTAAGGCGTCTTGATTGTTTCGTACCATATAGTTCTCTGCCGAACCGCCAAGCGGCCAGTTGAACCCTGCCATCCCTGAAACATATTCTTTCCTTGAGGGTCTAATACCCGAAATGGCATCCTACTTCTCCAGTAAATATTATCACGCTGGAGGTGATGAGGTGAACGTCAATTGTTGGAGCCAAGATCCATCTGTCAAATATTATTTGGGAAATAATTCGGGCAGTACATTGGATACCTTGCTCGGAAAATTCATTTCTAAAACTCACGAATTGGTCAGAAAATCCAATAAGATACCGATAGCATGGCAGGAGATGATTGTTGATCATAACTTAACGTTAGGAAGTGATACGTTAATACAAGTGTGGAATGATGACAAAAATTTAAAGAAAGTCGCGGATAAGGGTTACA